GAGGGAGGGACCGTGGGAATTGAGACCAAGGACCTCCTTGTTTCATGAGCAACTGGAGTGTGGCTGTATCTTGTAGTATTTGGTGTGGTGGCGGTTGTATGTTTATTGTGCAATTTGATAAAGAAAGCAAATACACTCAGACCTAACAGTCTTGACAAAGTGCATGGTGTGTATGTACTTGAGAACCTGAGCAGCCTCAGTGTAGCATTCCAGTTTGTAAATGAAGTACCTTGCCTGATACAGGTGATTTCTAGGGTAGCGGGGTGTTGGTTTGGGATTTTGTGGGTTTTGTTGGGTTTACTGCTGAGTTTATTAAACTGCACTGTGAATTCGAGTAGGCAGGAATAAGAGAAATAATTTACAAAGAGAAAAACTGGCTGGCCTCCCAGCAGGAATTTTTTCCCAAAAACTGGCTGGCCTCCCAGCAGGAATTTTTTCCCCTTTTCTATATACATTCATGGAATAGTTCTTTGTCATTTTGTTTCTCTTGCCTATAGCAAAAAGAGATTGTGTTTTAAAACAAGTTGCTATGTCCCTCTTTCCCCCATGTTTTCATCACACCATTTTCTGAGCATTTCTGGGGGGTTTGGGGAGCAGGGGATGCTGGAGAGCTCTTTTCCTTCTTTCTTGTATTCCTCCAATTTCTTTTTTATATAAACTGTTTCTAAAAGGAGACAGGCTGCAGGGTCAGAAATTCCCACGCCAGTGTTTTTACTGAAACTTCTGGAAATGTGATTCCTTGTATGGGTATGTATGCACCTACGGGTGAAGAGTGTTCTACCCATTTTTTAAAAGAACAGTGTTTTTTTTTTTTTTTTTTTTTTTCTTTTTGAAGCAGTGAAGTGTTACCTGAAGTAAATACCAGGTTACAATGTGGCATAACGGTTGCCTGCTTGCTCTTTTGCCACTAGGCATTGTTGACAAATGCAGGTCTTTTTAAAACATTTTGTACCTGTAACGACATAGTGACATCTTGAGGTTGTTTCTCATGCTCCTTTTAAGTCTGCCTTGTCCCCTGCTGGTTGTATTGCACAGCAGTGAGCAATAACACATTTCCATATGCAAACCAAACCAGGCTCTTCCCACAGTATGCTTTGAATTATCTTCAGATTTTCATGTACCTGTGGATTCTTCAATCACACCATTTGTTAGGCTGTCTGATAAAAATGAGTGTTCTCTTGAATTACTCAGAAGTTACTACATTCACACATTCTAACACATCCTTTTTAGTTGCCTTTAGAAAACTTCAATGTAGTTCCTTCTTTTTCCCCCAAGGGAGATGAGTGTTTATTTCACTGCACATTTCTGTCATACCATTTACTACTCAAAAGTGAATTAACGTGTGTGAGAGATTTACCATAATTCCTGTAATTTGTCTACCAAATTTAAAAGGTTTTTGAATGTAATCAGATGATTATAATTCAGAACAACTGAAGTTCTTGTGTCCAGCTGACGCTGTGCTGGTTGGTGTTCTCACCTCACCTAAAGGTCTGCATGTAACTTGAGGACCCCCTGGAAATCTACTCTTAGGAACGCACAATTTTTTGCACCTCTTTCTGATGGGAGAGCGTCTCCTGGAATCTCTAAAGTGCTTGTTTTAGTATTCTGATCACACCATTTCTTCTGAGGGGCTACAAGGAAGACTTTATGTACCACTGATTGAGATCACAGCTTTTTCTAATCTCCATTCAAATATACCCTTACTTCTTTTCTGGAATTAGCCTTTGCCTGTATGTTCTTTTGGTGTACTCCCACATCTTTAATTTTTTCTTTTAAACTGATGTGCCCTCCATCATTTGCAAAAGATCTGTTGGAACTAACCTTAAAATCTATACAGTGCAAAATACCAAGAAAATGTAACAGAGAAAATGTTTCTTAAGTGAAGAAAGGATAGTTACATAGGTACTAAAATGCTGGGAAAAAATTTGGTTTTCTGTGGATTTTAAATACTGTACTAAATGAATACTTTCTTCAAAGAGCGAAAGTCCATCATAGCAATTTTCATAAAGAGCACTCTGATCAAAGATTTTGGTTCATTTAGTTTTAAAATAAGGATCAAAAATCTGGTACAGTAAGCTTTTCAGTAAGTGGAGGTACTGATTCTAATCCAGAAAGTAATCGACAAACCTCTTTCATACATACAGTTAGCTGATATAGTTGGGCTTGTTTCAAAGGCAAATTATGAGATGAGTATCTTGCTCTTAAGGAAATTCTCTTCCTGGGTAATGCTTTACTGTCATGGGAAATTCCCCGCTCTTACCCTTTGAGAGATTCTTTTCAGAGTTGTTCCTCAAAAAAGCAAAAAACAGTAACAGTAAATACATAGAAAGCAGGAACGAGCATGACTTCAAAGCTGAGCAGCTGAAGAGAGTGTCTTCTGACTAGTTCAGGTGCGTAAGTATACCTCCTCAGATACATATCTTTGTTATATAATGTTATAGCACATTGCCTTTGCCTGTTTAAAATATTCTGAGTAGAAATATATATGGTGTATTTAAATTACAGCGTGTGGTCACAAGGAGATAGAAGGGCTAACTAGTTTTATTCCTGATGTTTCAAAATGGGGAACACGTTATCAGGATTTCTAAGTTAATATGTGCATAAGTTCACATGTTAAGACATTTGGGGATGGACCATGCAACTTTTATCTCAAATACAGTCTTAAGCCTTTTTTTTTTTTTTTTTTGAGGACTGCAGTACTTAGCAAAGGTGTGAATGGGATGAAAGTTAATAGCACCAACACAACAAAAAGGCTTCTCAATCTTGCATTCAGTTTTTCTTAATTAATAGACAACACTCCTTGAAATAACTGTATCAATGCAAAATCCTTTAATCTAAAAATGCCCTGAAAAGAAAGGATTTTGACAGATGTTTACTAGGAAATTATAAATTTGTAGGGAGGAATAAAAGTTGGTCATAATTTGATTTGCATGTTGAAGATGGTTGATTTCTCCACATTCAAATATGGATTAACGTATAATGAGTTGTTATTCCTGCAGATATAGAATATGTATAGTGCAGAAGGTTAGTAAAATAAGAATTAGTGTGTGGAATAGAATTTAAAGGCTTATTTACATGTACTGCAGACTGTCTAATACTTAATTTTTTCACACTGAGTTTTTATTTTAGGCTTGAATTTTTACTTCAATATTCCTTAATGTTTCCTTCTTATCACTACACTTCTTTCTCACTTTCTTGACTGGACATTGGCTCTAAGGTCTGGGGCTTTTTCCCTCTTATTCTGGTGACTATATGCCTTCAGCTTTTTTTCTCATGAAATAACCCCAAAGATTTCAAACTTTTTGAGTATTTAAGCAGTGCAAAGTACTGTGAATTTTGAAAAATTCAGGGGGATCACAGGGAATGCGAGGACTGGTTTCATTGTGAAACACATTGCTCATCTCATGGTCTCTGGCCTCGCTTGAACTGTTTCTGATGCCTCTATGTACACAGTCAAAGGAGAACTATTATTAGAGTAAGGGCTTTCTGTATTTTTTAATTATTTGATTTTTACGTTGAATGTTGTGCAGTGCAAATCCACCACTTACACAGAATACCTGTCAGTGGAGTAACTTGCTGTGTAATGAGACAGTTGGAAACAGTAAGAACCTCTGTTTGCTACATGACGACTTTTTTTTTTTTTTCCCTGTATAAGTTAATGCTAACTAGTAAATTTCCCGATTTTAACAGTTTTGAAGACAGTATTGTTTGGCCTTCATGTACTAATAAATAATCTTCTATATCTTAATTTTCTGTGTTCTTTTTTTTTAGATCAACTGGTTATTCTGAAGTGATAGTTGTTGTTGGAGGCTGTGAAAGAGTTGGAGGGTTTAATTTGCCATATACTGAGTGCTACGATCCTGTAACAGGAGAGTGGAAGTCACTGGCTAAACTTCCAGAGTTTACCAAGTCTGAGTATGCAGTGTGTGCTCTACGGAATGACATTCTCGTTTCAGGTGAATAATCCCAACAATTTTAAGATTTCTTTCTTTTCTTTGTTTTTCTTAAGTACTGTGAACTTCAGAAGCTCAACTGACAATCACTTTGTGATGTAAATGGTGAACACCAGCCCCAAACCAATCTTACTGTAGAAAATGGTGTTTTCTGGGATTTTTGTTTGGCATTAATTGGTAGTGTTTTACAGCTGATTCCAGGGTGTCAGTTGTATTTAAAGAGATGATTTTATGCTCGCTAAGTACACTGCTTTAAGATTTATTAGTGGCCTGTTTGCAGCAACAGATGGAAAAATTGCAAGCAAAAAATCGAAAGCAGTGTTTTTTCTAGCAGCATTTTCTCTGCTACAAAATATTCTGTGTCCTGGTTAAAACACCAGTTACCTAGGAGCACTGTAGAACTGGTATGTTGCTGGTTACTTGCTTCTGTCCTATGGCTTGCCTAGACTCTGAAAGAAAAACGGTTAAAGCTTCTTCTTGTCATGGGAATGTAAAGTGGAAATTTATTCCTTTTAGCACCAGAGTTGGGGATCCATTTATACCAGCCTTTTACAGTGAAATGAGCAATAGCTGTAGGTGTTAAACACCTCTCATTCAGTCTTTTAGCAAGGGTAAATTATAGGGTGCAGCTGATGGTTTAGAAACTAAGCCCCATGTGTTAGTTTAACCAAAGAAAGTCTCTCCTCAGATGTGTAGTACCTGTGTCGTTTGAACAAAAGGTAAAATGAAGGAGATGGATGCATGAACCAAATGGAGGAGCAGCTAGTGTTAGGGATGTGCCATGAGGTACATCAACAGTTAAGATTTTGAGTGTCCCATCCGGGTAGTGGCAGTAAAGGAAATCTGAAGAGCAAGGGCAGAAGCCATTAAAATGCATTCATTCCAATCTTGAGAAATAATCTAATGTGATGTCAGCATGTTACTGGGAAAGGCACACATAAGTAAAACAACTTAATATATGTTGTCATGTTTGAAATCAGACTTCTTCAGTCTAGCCTAGAAATATAGATAGATCTTTATTTCACATAAAAAGGATACAAAGTTTTCATTGCCCACTGTAGAGGGACATGTTAACATTTCTCATTCAGTAATAAATTTATTCAAATTGGCTTATTTTTGTTTTTAAAAAGGTGGAAGAATCAATAGCCGGGATGTTTGGATTTATAACTCTCAGCTTAACATTTGGATCAGAGTTGCCTCCTTAAATAAAGGCAGATGGCGTCATAAAATGGCTGTTCTTCTTGGTAAAGTAAGAGAAGTATATTTATAATTTTTTTATAGTGGAGATGTTTGCTGTATAAAAGCATTGGAGAAAATACGTACATATTTAGTATTACTTTGTATTTCCTATCAAATAATTACAAAAATGCATATTTTCAAATAAAAGACTATTTTAAACAATTAGGCTCTTTATCAGTTAGACGCTATCTGTGGATATGGAAATCATGTTATCCCTCAGTTGAGATTTTTTGTGGGGTTTTTTGTCATTGAAGCCCAAGAAGCAATTTTTTGGGAAGCAGAGAAGCATCTGGATTTGCCCATGCTTCAAAAGTGCTGTCAAAACTTAACAGTTTATGCAGTTATTAACAGAAACTGGTACTCCTTTGAGTGTTAGCTCTGTGCTCTTTTATTTGATGTTTTATGTTGAAATTAACCAAATATGTGCTGTGGGGAAAATGGGAGGTTTTGCTGTATTTTGAAGGCATTAACATAAAACCAGTAGTTGGGATCAACTGCCTGTGGGGACTCCATTAATGAAGTTAGGGAAGATGTGCATGTGGTATCCCTTTGACCTCTTAAGAGATGAAACTTGCAGCTGGAGCAAGCAGAGGGAAGAAGATAGGAGTAATGAGCTCTGCTTCTCAAATATGAAAGAAGCAACAGGAAAGCAAAGTTTACAGAGTGAGAGGAAGAAATATTTTTGTAAGCAAGTAGGAAAAAGGGAAAACACAGAAAAGGAAAGGTACATTTGGATGGACTTTGGCTGCTGCTGTTGCTCAACATAATCTGTGAAAAGAGAAGTGCAGAGAAGTGCCTTTTTTAACAAATGCCATTCAAACAGGAAGTTTCTCAGTATTAATAATACTGTGCTTTGAACATGTGTTTGCAGTGTCATACCACATGTGACTGAATGGAACTCTCCAGGGAGTCTTTACCTATTATTTTTAGATTATATCCTTCTCCTGTGTATAAAGTAAAATGTGGGGAAAGTAGCCCTTCACAAACCTAGCAAATTAGGATTCTTGCAGCTTTATTTTTTTATATTTAAATATAATAACTACTCTAAAAATGAAATGTTGATAGTTTTCACCACTTTGCACAGGTATATGTTGTTGGAGGATATGATGGGCAAAACCGCCTCAGCAGTGTAGAGTGTTACGATTCGTTTTCTAATCGATGGACAGAGGTGGCTCCCCTTAAAGAAGCTGTGAGCTCTCCAGCTGTCACCAGCTGTGTGGGCAAACTCTTTGTGATCGGGGGTGGTCCTGATGACAACACGTGTTCTGACAAGGTCAGTTATTTGTATTTTATTACTACTTCTATCCATGGTAAACAGCGTTTCTGGTTTAAAACCAGATCATACAGGGATTCTTTTTAACTGTTTTGCTGAATGGAGTTTGGAATTACTACAACACAAAAAGTAGAGAGTAGAAAACGTTAACTCAATGATACACCACTCCAATGGTCTTTCTCATAGATACTGTCATCACCTTCAAGTTCAGTGAATTCTTAAACTTGTTAAAAAGTAATACTGAAATACAGTGCATATATAGACAATATATGGACTTCTGTTTAGATTGACTTCATTTTCTTGATGGGATATTGCCCACCAGTATTGCTGCTTTACTCCTCTTGTATAACCTGTGTGGTAGTGCCAGGTTGTTACTTCAATTAGGCTTTTAATCTGAAATGCATGTATTTGTTTTCAGGTTCAGTCTTATGATCCCGATACTAATTCTTGGTTGCTCCGTGCAACTATCCCTATCGCAAAAAGATGTATCACGGCTGTGTCTTTGAACAATCTGATCTATGTTGCTGGTGGGCTTACCAAAGCAATATACTGCTATGATCCAGCAGAGGACTACTGGATGCATGTACAGAATACATTCAGCAGACAGGTAATTAACACTAAAAGCCCAGTAGACATCTGAAAGGTATTTTTTTACATTAATATCTTGGCATGAAATGAGTATACACTTGTTTAACCTTATTAAAATTGTGTTTCTGATTCCATTCTTTCTTGACTTCTTCATCTATACATGGAAGTTTCTAAACCAGCAGCTTTTCAGTTGGGTGTTGCTGTTAGCTAGTCCAGACATTATTTGAGAGCAGATACTGTTGGAAAACAATGTAACCGTATAATGGATGATGTTTTAATTGTACAGAAATTGATCTCCGTCAAGTTCTGCTGTATGTTTTAATTTAGACTAAAGACAGTAATTTCCTTATAATTCATTAAAGTTTTTCAATGTAACAAATATCAAAGGCTGTTTTTACAGTGTGGTAAAAATAAAAAAAACAAAACAATGTGTGGCACAGAAAGTGTCTGCCTTAAGCACTAAGAGCTGTATTATTTTCACGTATGGAACTGAGCAGAATTTACAAATATGTCCCCTCGGTAGTAAAGTATATGTGTATCAGTTAATTGTCCTGATGTTTATAAATCATCAGTCACATACTCTGTGGTATCTAACACAATTAACAGAAATTTCTTCTTTTTCCTGGCCTTCCCTCTATTCCTCTGTTTTGACCTGTGTTCTCTACTTAACACAATGTTTTTTCCATGTCTGCTTTTAAGGAAGAAATAAAATCCTTTCTCTCTTTGTTTCAAGTAAGGCATAATGCTGTCTTACGTACTCTTTTCTTAGTCATGACTTCTTTCCTCCCCACTCCTCACTATCTGTTACTCCTCTAAGGTGCTTCTCCTTGTTCCCATTTTTTTGCATTAAGAGTACCTACAGTGGCCCCTCTTCTGAAAATCTTTATTCTCTCTCCCTTTCCTTATCTCGGATGTTTAAATGGTAAGTACAGTGTTCAGCTATATTCCATTGTATCCCTTGTCTGAGCTGTGTATAGTGAAGGCTTAGACCTGAACTAGTCTTTTCTGTAGGATTGTGCTGCCGCTGTCCCCAGTTACTGTGCTTTCTGCATTGGCCCTTTCAGGAGGGAATAGTATAGGCCAGTCTCTTCACAAAGGGTAGTCACAATGCTGTCCTTCTGCACTGGGGTAAACATGCAGGAATTGAGGTTTTGTTTTTTAAATAATCGTGTATTCCTTTGTCTATTTTGAAACAGGAGAATTGTGGCATGTCTGTGTGTAATGGGAAAATCTATATCCTTGGTGGAAGACGAGAAAATGGTGAAGCCACAGACACTATTCTTTGTTATGACCCTGCTACGGGCATTATCACAGGAGTAGCAGCCATGCCCAGGCCAGTATCATATCATGGCTGTGTGACGATTCATAGATATAATGAAAAAGGCTTTAAACTGTAATTTTTTTCTTGAGAAAAGAAGATGGCGGCATGAATGAATCCGGTGGTCTGCCACAAGACAGGCTTTTTAAAGATAACTGAAGTGGGAAGATGCACTTTCCCTACCTAAGCGTCGTATGAAAATTATATCCTGTGCCTTTAAAAAAAGGGTTAATTTAACTTGCAAAACAAGTCTACAAATCTATCCAGTCACCAGAGTTCAGCTGTATCTGCTGTGGCCTCTGATATGAGAGCAGTAATAGTACATTGTACTAGTGTTCAGAAAGTTTGCCCTATGTGTGATTAGTAATTAAAATCTTGGAAGCTTTTTGAGGAAAGTGCCTTCACAAGCATTTGTGCCTGTGTCCTAAGAAGTGATATCTGCAAAATGTTTCAGGTTCTGCTAATTGGAAAAATACATAAGTAAATTCCAAAGAATCATCTAGGAGAATTACTGACAATTTTAAAAAGTATAATTATAATTCATATGCACAGCATTCTTACAAACAGATTACTTGGCTTAACCAAGTAGATTTTATGTCAGATCATGCATGGTTTGAAATTAAACAAACAAAACAAAACCAAACCCCAACCAAATCAGCTGCATAGGACAAATACTAGAATCTTTGAGGAATGCTTTTTTCTGAAGGAGAAATTGGTTGTTTAGTGAGCCACGGCAACACACTGTGGTAACGATTGTGTACCTTAACACTGTGGACCTTGTTCACAGTGTTGCAAAGTGTTCATCAGAAGTACAAGGCTACATGACATGGAAAACCAGTGACCACTGGGGTGTAGGCATGCATCTGTGAAGCAAATTTTGAATCCCAGTTTTTAACTCTTTGAAAAGTATGGCTGAAGTCTGAAAGCTACTGGGTTCACTTTTTGCTCACTGCAAAGTATCTCTAGACTACTCAAGGAATAAAGGATCATGAACTCTGGATTCTTCGCTTCTCAATCACATTATAAACTACCTGATGATAGAGATGGGGACTTGGGTTGCACCCTGCAGCTTATAAATTGATTTTTCGGATATTTCATCTGCAGAGATGGCAGAGCACCCACCACTATTTCTTGGCCTTTCTTCAGACAATCACTTACTCTAGCACAGTTAAACTACTGTATAAGCTGCTTGGCCATCAATAAAGAAGTTTTGGAAAGGTCCCTCCTGTCACCAGAAAACTATCTGTGGACCTGTCCACATAGCCATATGACGTAGCTCCCACATAACATGTTTTGGATAATTTTGAAGCCTAGGAAGTGCCTGTATTTTGATCCTTTTTTTTTTTTTTTTCTGTACTGTGTCTCTTTGTTTCCAGTACACAGTTGTACAGTTGAGGCACAAGTTCATAAAAACTGAAACAGCTCTTGAGAGTTGGAAAATGAGTAGGATTGTCTGTGTACCAATTTCCTGTTAATCACCAAAAACCTCAGGAACTGCCTTTCAAAGGAATTCGGAGGACAGCAGCCAGTAGGGAAGTTGGTCAGTGCCAGGGCAGGAAAAAAAAACATAAGCCCCCTGCAGAGACAGCCCTGGCCTTGGGGTTCTGGTCTCCGTGCTTGCTCAGGAGGGTGAAAACAAGCACCATTTCTGGAACGTCGTTTGTTCCACTGGACGTTCTTCATCTGTTTTCCCAGAGTATTTCTTCATGAGATGGAAATTCTGACCCTCAGTAGAACTATGCCAAACTGGGAGTCATCATTTTCAGTAAAATATGGTCATGACTTTTAAAGAGCACTGGGAGCTGCACTTTGTGATGCATTAACTTGTAACCTCAGGAAAGGACACAAATTTCAGTTTCTGGCTGAATACCAAACACTGTTTTATATATGTTAAGAATACTGAAAAAATACAAATCTCTGCGTATCAGTGGTGTAATTAGTTAGTCCCTGAGCATGTACATTCACACTGCCCTTAAAAGAAAGTCCCTCAGTAATGTAAGACAAATGAATCAGATAAATTAATCCTTTTCTAAGTTTCTTGTGTTTCTGCTCACCAGGTGTTACTTTGAAAAGGTAATTTCAGTACCTGTGAATAAGGTCCATTGATAGCAATGGTAATTGCCCAGTAACTGATATTATATACTAACACTGTATATAACTTATGCCATCGTTGTAAATGAAAATGTAAAAAATGATAGGAGCACTTCATTAGAGATGCAGTTTGAGAAATACTCTCCTTTCCTTTGATTTCCTTCTGTTTGTATGAAGACCTGTAATGTTGATTGTCACGTTAAACTGTTTAAACATGCTTTATTCCATAGGTGTAGAACAATGTCATTTATGTATAGGTATCTTTTTATCTTTGTTTATAATACTGCACTAATCTGTAAATAACAAGATACTGCTTTCCATGGCTTTGAACATGCATTTTATAGTTTAGTTGTCTTAACAATTTATGTACCATTACCTATTATTTTGAAAATGACAGTGTTTAATGAACCAGTAAAGGCAGAAATGTAGGTGTAGAAGAAAACTTCTGCTTGCAGTTCTTGAAAACCTGTATTCAATGCTGAACAATTACATGTGTGGAGCATTGCTAAAATGACAGTTACTCATGCAGTGATTTCCTTAAAACAAGTAGTGTATTTTTTTTTCTTGTTAACTCTGTAAATAATTTGCACTTACGGCCTGCTCTGTTAGAACAATTATTTTTAGATATACTAGAAAAGAACAATTGGACTTTTATAATTTAATGAACATATACAATTTTTCTAGAAGGATGCATTAATTTGGATGTTGCATTCCTGAGCCACCTGTTCTCTGATGCATTTCACCTGGGTAGAGATTCACAGAATCACAGAATCATCTAGGTTGGAAGGGACCCTGGAGATCTAGTCCAACCATTCGCCTAGCACAGATCCCACCTAAAGCCTACCCTTAAGCTCCAAATAGACCCTACTCTTGCACACCTTCAGGGCTGAGGACTCCACCACCTCCCTGGGCAGCCCATTCCAACACCTAACAACCCCTTCTGGAAAGAAATGCTTCCTAATATCTAGTCTGAACTTTCCTTGGTGCAACTTGAGGCCATTCCCTCTTGTCCTGTCACTTTCTACTAGGCTAAGAGGCTTATCCCCAGCTCTCTGCAGCTTCCTTTCAGGTAGCTGTAGAGGGTGATGAGGTCTCCCCTCAGCCTCCTCTTCTCCAGACTAAACAATCCCAGTTCCCTCAGCTGCTCTTCATAGGACATGTGTCCCAGACCCTTGACCAGCTTTGTACCCCTTCTCTGGACACGCTTGAGTCATTCAATGTCCTTTTTGTAGTGAGGGGCCCAAAACTGAACACAGTAATCAAGGTGCAGCCTCACCAGCACCAAGTACAGGGGCAAGATCCCTTCCCTGTCCCTGCTGGCCACACTAATCCTGACACAAGCCAGGATGTCATTGGCCTTCTTGGCCCCCTGGGCACACTGCTGGCTCATATTCAGCCGGCTGTCAATCAACCCCCCCAGGTCCCTCTCTGACTGGCAGCTCTCCAGCCACTCCTCCCCAAGCCTGTAGCGCTGCTGGGGGTTGTTGTAACCCAAGGGCACCCCCGGCATTTGGCCCTATTGAAGCTCACGCAGTTGGGCTCAGCCCATGGCTCCAGCCTGCCCAGGTCTCTCTGCAGAGCCTCCCTACCCTCGATCACATCAACACTCCCACCCAACTGGGTGTCGTCTGCAAACTGACTGAGGGTGCACTCAATCCCCTTGTCCAGATCATCAATAAAGATGTTAAACAGGAGTGGCCCCAACACCAAGCCCTGGGGGACACCACTCATGACCAGCCGCCAGCTGGATTTAACTCCATTTACCACAACTCTTCAGGCCCGGCCGTCCAGACAGTTTTTTACCCAGTGAAGTGTGTGATTGTCCAAACCTCAAGCAGCCAGTTTCACCAGGAGAATGCTGTGGGAAATGGTGTCAAAAACCTTGCTGAAGTCAAGGTAAATTACATCCACAGCCTTTCCCTTATCCAATAAGCAGGTCACTCTGTCATAGAAGGAGATCAGATTAATTCAAAGATTTAAACTCTTTACTGTTGTATCTGGCTGCTTGCAGTTTATGGGCTTGAGCAGCAAGAGAGATTTTATGTCTCAGCTAGGAGAGAAAATTATTACTGTCATCTAGTATAATCAAAAGATTTCCATCATAAATGTAATAGGTTTGGTAGTTTTAAAGTAGAGACACCTGCACAAAGATGTAACTTCAGTCTAACCATACATGGGGAGAGGGCTCAACTATCTCCAAAGTCACACCTAAAAAATAAATTCTAAGAGTTGTCTAATAATTCATTTCACCAAACATATAATTACCTTTTAAGTATTTCACTCTTAAAAGGAAATGATAGTAAATATTTTTCCTTTTCCACATTGATGTCCAGGATGAGTTATATCCTTCTGTTCTCAGCAGTATGATGTTAATTGAAAAGAAAGTTGATGTTTCCTCGCAGCCTGGCTTCGAGAAGGTTTTGAATAGATAACTTCAGTACTGCCTTATAGTGCAGTCTCTAGCCTTCTGCTTGTAGATACACTATGCATCCTCTCATTATACAGACATCCAGAGTGTAACATGGCCTGGTAATCATTTAGTTTTACTCCCTTCTTGGTGGTGCTTAAGTGGGCATAATTTGTGGAATCTCTTCTATTTGTACCATCAGATGATTCATTTTATACTACACACTTGGTAAGCATTTTGAGGATTTGGCACTGTGCTTTCCAGTCTAGCACCGAGGGTCCAGAGGTGTACTGCTATTTTTTATTCTAATTGGCACCAAGGCCATTTTCATCAGAGGTTGCTTTCATTTCTACTCTGTGAAGCACAGATATCTTTAATGCCAATTATATTGATGCGGACCCATACCATAACTGACTCAAACTTTTTAAATGGTATTTTTAACACTGCAAGTTTTTGAGAGAGGCTGATGTAGGAAGAGGAGGTGCTTACCTTGACAGAGGTTCAGAGGAAGCTTTGGTCACCTGTGCTTGTTGATTACTTGTGCTTGAGAGTAAGCATACTGCTGACTGCTCCAGCTTCTTCCTCAAAATAGTTGACTTTACCACATTATCTTAGATAATTACTCAATTTACCCTGCTGTTGTTTTATATGAGCTGCAAGGTCAAAACAAGCAGCAATCCCACTTCCTGTGATTTCAGGTTTCCCTCCTGCCCAAGGCAGGTGGAGTGCTGGAGCTGTGACTCTTAGTGGGTAGGCAGAGCTGTGTACTTTGTCCAGCTCCAAAGAGAGAGACAAGAGAGAAACTTAAATTGGGGTAGGGTAAGAGATGGCAGGAGGAAACACAGTGTGGTTGGGGCTTGTGTGTTTGGCCTGGCTTGCTGAAAGCAAGACATTCTGCATGCTCGTAAGGTTGCAATTCCAGATGCTGAAACTCGGGTGGTAAAAATACTTCACATTTGTCAACTCACTGAACTCAGGTGGAGCAATAAATATGCATGTATGGTCATGGTCTTCTAGTGGCAGTGTTCAGAAAAGCCAAAGGTTCATTTTTCCTAATTGCCCAATTAGGCAAGTATTTGTAGGGTTTTTAATACCACTGAAGATGGCAAAAGCCAATTCAAGAGCATTAAGAAACTCACAAGACTTGATCACTGTGCGGCAAAATGAATGTTTTCATCTGAATGTAGTCTCGTGCACACAAGAAGGTACAAATTAAATGGGTGGTTATGCTTGGTTAAAAAATCTGAGCAACGTATACCCAGAAAAAGAGTCTACATGGTAAGACGAGATTTTTAAACAGAAATTTGCCATCTGGTTGGGGGCCAAGCAGTGATTTTTTTTTTTTTTTAATGTCTAGCACACAGGTTTCCTCAGTGTTGAATTATTTCAGGTGATGTTAATAAAAATGGATCTCTCCGTCAGTATACTGTGATTGTGTCAGTGCTATGAACCTTGCCTCTGAACAGAAAGCAGCCTCCTGCTACCCCTAAACCAGATGTGTGAATCACATGCTCTCTGCACGCAGGCCTTGTGTCATCTGTCTTCCATAACTAGTGTAACACATAAGTTTATGTTCTCAAAGTGTATAGCCCTGATAACATTACTAAGAACTCTATTTACAGGAACATTTCTTTTTTTCTACTGTAGTGCTCCATTTTATGCTCATGTTTATGTGCGCACATCTGTGCGTGTGGATAATTTTGTGATCATTTTCTGATAGTGCTGTTATAAGTAATGCACATAAAAGCCCCTGTGTACAGCATGTTGATAATGTAATTATGGCTTCCTTTGTATTATTAGTTCCAAAGAAAATAATGTGTGTTAATTTTGAAAATACCTGTGCCTTGAATTCACCTATATTTTTATCTATTGTGAAAGAGAGCTTGGATTACTTCTCTCAGTGTATCTTTATTAGGATCAGTCTTACTGTCCAGACTGTTCATGTCCTTCTAAGACAAATAAGTCTTGTCATTCATTAACCAGAGTAGTTAAACCTCTTGTTTAGAATATGCCTACAATGCTTCCATTATTACAGTGCTATGGCAGATTTAATCTAGGGAAATCAGTATTAGTTTTTTCCAATTTTTTTTTTTGTTTCCAGCACTTGTCAGTGACAAAGGACTTGAGTTTAGTCTTTGACTCCCTGTCCTTAACATACGCAGTTTCTTGGTTTAGTCAGTAGCCTCTATGATATTTGTGAATGCTCTGACTTGTCAGTCATGAACCTCTTGTTCAGTATACGTAATATGAAGCAATAATATGGTGCAGCATGGCAATAAGCAAATCAAGAGACTTGAATGTAATGTACTATTACTAATTTCATCTGTAAATGCTGGACCTATGAGTCATTCTCCTTTTGGTGCACCTGTAGCAATTTGGAGTCAGATTGATAGGAGCTACTTGGCCCTGGAAAGAGAATTTACCTCTGAACTGTTACTCATATGGTATTTTATCTTCACCTAAAATCATGTTTGGATTTTCCTTTTTTTTGCTGAGGAAAACAGCAGTTCATGTTATTCCTTGCCAGTTCCTTTACTTACTGGACCATAAAAGGCGTAGTTCTACAAAGAGCTGATCTTGTCTTCAAGAACAACCTGGTGCAGCACAAATGACATTTGAACAGAAAAGTGCAGACCACTTTATTGCGTGCCAGAGTCAACGTAACGTTATCTTGCATATAACACCAAGGTCTTCAGATTGTGCTGACAGTAGAAAAGTGATTTTGTAATGTAGCACAATCGCAATAACACCTGTTATATTTAAATATGTTTCTTGCATAATTCTTCATTTTTTTTTTTTTTTAAGTTCAGTGTATCTAATAAACATTTGCCTTTTGAATAGTTCACTGTGTTTTATTTGGGTTATGAGAGGTTCCAGGGTGGGGCTTGGTGGCACAAGGAGGAAACTCCTTCCTGTTTTTTCTGGGTCATTTAACTTGGATTCTGCCCCTTTGCAGTCTCTGTATCTATCCATCAGTCTATTCTGTCTCCCTTTTTAGGTGTTTTCCCTGCTCATCCTTCTGTCCTTGTCATGGAATTTACTCTTGATGTGAGTAAAGGTGAGCTAGAGTCTGTGCAGAAGAGCAAACTTCAAGGAGGAAGAAAACTGGAAAAAATTATAAATCAGAGGGGTGGGATATGAAATAGCAGTTAGTCCTGGGTATTGCAATGGGAAAAGGATGTGAATGGACTTGGAAGACAAAACCAGCATGGGTAATCAGGAAAAGGTAACATAATGCGAGGAAGGGGATTGGCAACAATACAGCTTGGAAAGAATCCTATAGAAAATTTATTCTCCAAAAATTAGCTACCTGGCCATCTTGAGGTCCCACTTGAAGGTGGCAGCCTAAGGGTTCAGACTGTGATGGAGTGGCACTACTGCAGTTGAACTGGTATAATGAAAGTTTGGTTTAATACCCCTTTTTTTACAGATTACACCCATCTTTTGAATGTTTCTAGTGGTGCACTAGCTGTACTAGGGCTGCTTCTTCCCTGTAACGTGCATTCTGGATCTCAGACTCGGAACTTGCCCTTCATGTAATCCTAGTTTTGCCTTTTCCCCAAAACCTTTTCTTTTAGACATTGAGACAATCAAATACAACTTCTCTACCTTTGCCCTATAGCCCACTGAGATCTAATTTGTATCGCAAGTCTGTTTGTTCCCTATGTGGTATATTCAGGTGTGGGGTGTTCTAAAGGCAGTGGGACCTGATGATTGGTATACTCAGTGTCTCTCTGAGACAGAGAAATAAGTAAAAAGAAGAGAAAGAAAGAAGGAAGGAAAGAGAAGCTCTTTGTAGGAATAGTGCCAGACATTCTCCATTTTTATATAACTTAAATGGATATGGGGATGCTGCATCTTTCATGTTTTTTTCTGCAACTTTGAGAAGAAATAAAGTAGCTGCCTTAGTTTCAAGTTTCAAACCTACCCCCACTGAGATGAGTCTAAATGTTGCACTACTGAGATACTTGGTGCTTTTCAAGTAACTTCTTAAATGAAATAAAACTTGGCAAGTGTCTGCTGCAGTTCTACAGTGTGGCAAGGCTGGTTTACAGCAACCAGGTGGCTCTTGCTGTGGTGCCAACCCAGCTCAATGCTTGCAGAAGTTTACTTTCTTGAAAGGAGTAACATTGCCTAAGAGTCCACAGACTGCAAAGCTATGGAAATATTTCTGATGGCTGGAAGCCTGTCTTGAGATAGTCTTGAACACAGTCGACTGCCAGCAGTATTTTAACAACAGCCTCTTCTTCCTCTTTCTATTAAGCAGGAAAAAGGAAGAAAATAAAATTGAACTGCACTACATATGTACTTTTCTTGATCAAAGTAATACAAATTTGAGTATAGAATGGTCTCTGTCAATTGCCCTAATTCACATTGCTTGTTTGGTAAGAAATCAGAAAGCCGTTGTAGTGGTGGTCCTGAAATCAGAGGAAAAAAAAAAAAACAAACCAAAAGAGGACTTTAAGGGCTAACCCTTGAACACTCAGCATACACTTGCTAATTAGTGGGCTCATAAATAAGTTTGCAAATACATGTATGAGCAGGACATTTATTTCTGCTGGTTAGCAGCTCGCTGCACGAACAGTGGGGCTACCACAGACCAAAGAACTCCTTGCCATTAGCCACGCCTGACAGAGGTATTACAGTGGCCAAAACCAAACACAAATTGTGGTATTGACTACACTAACTTGGACAATTTTGGCTCCGATTTGAGAGACTAAGAAATAGGGCAAGTAGTAAATATGGTATAAGGTATTTTTGAAGCCTATCTGTAGTGAGATCAGTGCAAAAACGCCCTTCGGTGGATCTTGTGTGCCCAAGGGGTAAGGGCCGGCCGGGCCGCCACCCCAGCCCTGAGGTGACGCGGTGCTCTGCGCCTGCGGGGGCTGTGGGCACCTGCACCTCGGGCAGCCCCTGCCTCATTTCTTGCGGTCTTCTGGGTTTAGGTTGTTTTTTGGGGTTTTGTTTTTCTTTTTTCGCTGATCACCGTCCTGAACATCTTCTGTGTTACAACGCCTTCCTCACATGAGGTTGCTTCACCCGGTAAATCAGGATTAGGTCGCTGCAGCTGAACAAAGGCATTCCAGTGTCGCCAATCTCGGGGGTTTTTCTGGTGCGAAGGGTGAATTACCGCCCACAAACCGCGCCTTGCCTCCGCACAGCGAGAGAGGCGCAGGCGGGTCCCCGCAGCGGCGGCCCCGCTTCAGGCCGCCTCCGCCTCGGGAATCTTCCCCGCCAGAGAGAAGCTGTTAGCCGGGAATTCTCTTGCTGGTTGTAACCGCTGCCCGGAACGCTATGCAGGGCAACAGCGATTCTCGTCCTCCGTGCTTGCTTTTTCTCAGAATGGGGCTTGGTGAGCGTTTTCGGCCGAAAACGTGCACGTTTGCACTTCCCCGCCAGAGAGAAGCTGTTAGCCGGGAATTCTCTTGCTGGTTGTAACCGCTGCCCGGAACGCTATGCAGGGCAACAGCGATTCTCGTCCTCCGTGCTTGCTTTTTCTC